AATCAGCAACATAATTATTGGACAGCAACAAGACTCACTCTAAAGCCGCACAGGAGAAGCATTACCTGTGGACAGGGCTATCACAATGGGGGGTGCGAGGCCCTGTGCAAACCTGAAATGCAAGGCCCTACCCTGACACTTCTTTTTCCCAGATCTGAGGAAAGTTTTCCCTGTTATAATCTTTGACATGAATTCAGCACCACCTGTCGCATGGAAAGAAACAGCACTCGCACACCCGCATGGTCCTCACTCCAATGCACTGTTACGGGGCTTGGCATTGCGAAATAGCAGTCTCTTTGTCCTGTGGCAAAACGGCATAGCAAGTCAAAAGATTAAGCCAAAAGGAGTCTTCTTCTTCTAATAGTTAGATTAGAGCAAAATGTGCCAAATGACAGACGGAATCGATATTTATTTCACTTGTTTATTCCATCAAGAACGTTTTTGCCCTTGCCTCCACCCACTTTGACCAAAACATACGCTCCTTCTCCTCCACCACAAGGCATTTTATGCCCAAAATCCACTGCACTCGCAGTGGGAACAAAAGCTGGGCATATGCTGTTTGCTAATGCTTATGTTTTTGATGTGTACATTAACTAAACATCGGTAATAGCAGCTCACACACCTGTGTCGTCCTCCTCTGCTCACACAGAAGTCTCTGCTCCTCCTTCCCCGCCGCTCACGCACAGAAGTCTCTGCTTCTCCCCCTCTGCTCACACACCTCCTCACACACAGAAGACGAGTCCATCTCTCCGTAAACTGGGCTCATTCCCGTCTCTACACTGTTTGAGAGTAAAGTCACCTTGCTGTCCCTTATTAAGTCACTAATGCCCATCATAACGTCACTTTACTGCTAGTCACCTTATTGCACTGCCTACTGCATATTGTGTGCACCATGTGCACTTGTATATTGTACATAGGAATGGTAATTGCAATCGTATTAATTCTATTTCAAATGTTATACCTTGCTGATTTTTATTATGCCTTACTCTATTCTCTACCTCTCTTTTATGACTGATGCACCGAGCCAAAGCAATTTCCAAGTCTGTGACTTCCTGCTACTTACGTGGCAATAAAAATGATTCTATTTCAGAGTTATCTGACAGTTTTCTCCGAAAGACCTCGTTGCGCACATAGCCGCCCTCGCACCTGCCTGTTTACAAATTGCTTTCCCTGAAAATTTGACATACTTGTAATGTACTTTAGAACAAAAAAAATCAGTGGTCCAGAGATAGGGGTATCAAGGTTTGGACCTTGACCGCGGTCCGCCATTTGGCAACTCGTGAACTAGTGTTCACAGGTTTTAAAAAAGGGAGGAAGATTGCGAGGCCCTGTGCGGTGGCAGTTTGCACAGCCCCTCTGAAGGGCCTGCCTGTGGACCTCTGGTCATTTTCAAATTACCGCCCCACCTCTGTGATATTTGCAGTTCATTCACACGGGTTAAGCAATGTCTGTAAATGACTATTTTCACTGACATTTAGTCTGCCCGCTTCACGCAGCCCAACGGATCCTCGCCAAGCCCTGGTGATCCAAGATGGCGCCATATTCAAATGAATGGCTGGTGCTCGGTAGCGCATGGGACTTCACCATGGATCTATTATAATAACTGGATAGGGTATTACTAGCTTGTAGCTGAATAACTCATGTGCTCGGGGGATTCTCGCGGTGCTGCAGACTGAACCAGACTAAATTCACGTGGGCTACCCAGAAATTTTCCCCATAGGACTCAATGCATATTAAAACAGCTCAACCTCAGCTGACAGAGAACCTACAGCTTTCATAAAGATCGGATTTTGTGGGGATTTTAGTATCCCTTGTCATCCTGAACTTTTTTTCCTTCTTAAATCCTTCGGTTTTGTTTAAATCCACACTTTAGTGCCACAAACTCTGCTTGTCTGGCTCTCGCTCTAACTCCCGCTCTGATGAACTGCTCTGATTGGTCAGAGCGCGGCCGAGCCCCTCTGTGCACGTGCGTGAGGCCCGGTGTGAAACCCTCACACGCGTGTTTGGCGCAACGCATTATGGGAGATCATCCACTGCGCAGAACCGGGAGGACCAGACGATGCCCAAATACAGGCGAGTTTCCCATAGATCTTTGCGAGTTCCAGACGACTTCCGCTTATCTTTCAGCCCCCATGCCGTCACAAAGCGCCATTGAGCACAACCATTCATTTGAATAGGGCGCCATCTTGGATCGCCGGGGCTTGGACTTCACGGGCGCAGACATATCAGCGGAACTCTGCTATATTTGGGCATCGTCTGGCCCTCCCGGTTCTGCGCAGTAGATTATCTCCCATGATGCAATACGCCAAATACGCTGGTGTGGCTCTCATGAACGTGCACGGAGGGGCTCGGCCGCGCTCTAACCAATCAGAGCTTCTCATCAGAGCAGCGGTAGACCGGAGTCAGAGCGGGAAGGAAACGAGCAGAGTTTGTGGCACAAGTGTGGATTTAAAGAAAACCGAAGGATTTAAGAAGAAATAAAGTATAGGATGAGAAGGAAAACTAAAATCTCTACAAAATCCGACCTTGATGAAAGCTGTAGGTTCTCTGTTGCTGAGGTTGAGCTGTTATAATTTACATTGAGATCTATTGGACTATTTTCTGGGTAGCCCACATGAATTTAGTCTGCAGTACCACGGGCGCCCCCTGTGCCCATGGATGGGACAGCTGTAAGCTAGTAACAGCTGTCCCATCCATGAGCGGGAGCTTCCGGCGCCAGCTCCCGCTGTGCAGCTCGTCACTTTGGCTCTCTTCTCTTTCCGACCCTTTCTCTATTTCTTGTAGATGTGCTTTTTTATTTTTATTTTTCGTAGGCAAGCGTTTTTGTGCATTGTGCACACGGGAAGCCTAGCCTCGTGGACTTTCTCACTGGATTAACATGTCTTCGGCACTTTTTTCGGAGTCCTCCGCTCACACAAACCTGCACTACTATTGACACTGTTTCCAATTGACACTTGTCACTTTTGTTGTACATAATTATTGTCACTTTTATTGTACATATATCCTGCATGTAACATGTTTGCACATTTCCTCCTTTTGCACAATCTGTGTGTTCTATCCATGCCAAATGTGACATGTAAATTTCTCCTCTGTGATAAATAAAGCACATCTTATCTTATCTTAATACCCAAGCCCCGGTGATCCAAGATGGTGCCCTATTCAAATGAATGGTTTGTGCTCAGTAGCGCATGGGACTTCATGGAGACCGGGAGATTAGCTGAACTCGCCGATATTTGGGCATCGTCTGGTCCTCCCGGTTCTGCACAGTGGATTATCTCCCATAATGCGTCGCGCCAAACGTGCATGTGTGGCTCTCATGCACGCGCACGGAGGGGCTCGGCCGCGCTCTGACCAATCAGAGCTGCTCATCAGAGCAGCGGAAGAGCGGAGCCAGAGCGGGAAGGAAAACATCAGAGTTTGTGACAGTAAAGTGTGGATTTAAAGAAAACCGAAAAGGATTTGAGAAGAAAAAAAGTTTAGGATGGCAAGGGACACTAAAATCATATTTTCATCAGTTTTGTACATAATAGTGTGCAACTCTTTTAACCTTTTAGCCTTGTATGTGAGATTCAAGCTAATTACTTGGCCTAACAGTCCCCAGTTTTGGGCAAGTTAGCTACTTGAAACCAAGATATCCTAAAACATGCTTACAAGGCTAATATTCGTTTTTACATTATGCCAGTCTCACTTTGAGTTGCCTTAGATTTATTTACCACAATGTACATTGTAATATCCATAAATGTTAACACATGTTGCCACAGTGGGACGGCTACCAGTAACGTGCAGGCTGGGCAATCATTGGAAACAAATAAATATTTTTGTTGTAACATATAATTGTTTTCCACTGTCCTATGCCTTAAATGTATTTTCGGCAGGGTTCCGACCAGCTGTGATCTTTTTAGGAGTCAAAATCGCTAAAATCCTGTTTTTCCTATCCAAAGAGATGAGGTGAGGCAGCGCTCCTGCCCAGATCGCTCCCTCACAGTGGACCGAGTGCACTCAGCTTGTGCGGTTGATATATAATAATAATGCATTGGTTTTATGTAGCGCTTATTTGGACACTCAAAGACGCTTCACATGTCATTATTCTTTCACTCCATACACGGTGGTGATAAACTACTACTTTAGCCATAGCTGCCCTGGGGCACACTGACAGAAGCGAGGCAACCAGTATGTGCCATCGGCCCCTCCAACCACCACCAGCTATTCACACACACACCAGACTCATTCTAGGCAATGGGGGTCAAGTGTCTTGCCTAAGGACACAACGGCAGTTTGGCACTGTCTGAAAGCCTATGCGACACTCATCTTGACGTCTGTACTTGAACGCCTCACCACGGGAGCGGCGCGCGTTCACAGCACAGACTGTATTGTTTGTGCGTTTTGTGACTCAAGAAGTAAGTTGCTGTAGGCCTACTGTTCCTCACACGAGTTCGGGAAGGAAGGTTTACTTATATAGTTCGTCCATATTTGTTAAACAGTGGTTTTCCTGATCTGTGTTGTTTTCAGCTAGTAATCTAAAGATGCTACTCTATGCTAATATGACCCGTCATGTATACTTTCCTGCACCCTTGTACTAATAGTGCTATTTCAGTTACCTCTGTTCGTGTTTTACACCACTTAGTTACATATTTATGTTAACCTCACATAGACCTTAAAGGGTACCTATGTTGTACTTTATGTTATCATTTTTCCTGATTTATTGTAGCTCCTATTAGTCCAAATACATTGACTATTTATCGTTTATTATGTTATTCATTATATAATTATTATTAATACTGTTTTTTCTTTGTCCCTTTCTGTTTCCATAGCCACATACACACACAATGTACAAATTGTGACAAATTGACAACCCTGCATTAAAGCTGAGTGAAGATTCTCTGACCGGAGTCTGTCTGTAGTGTCCCCAAACCAGAAAGAAACCACTCCATTCTTTACATTGGTCAAGTTAAAGTTAATTGGTCAAGTTAAACACTTTACAAGTTAAAGAAGGACAACGGATGCAAGAGGAAGCATACCTTGCCAAGGAAAGGATGGCCAAGGAGATAGGACGGCGCAGACGCCTGAAGAAGTTGGAGAAGGAAATTAAGATTGCCAGTGCTGTAAAGTGCTTTCTATCCGAATCAGAGGATGAAGCAAAAGGTAAAGTGACGATCCCACCCTTTTCTGATGGGATTATGTCTCTGACATCCACTCCTAGACCGTCTCTTCCACCTTCCCATGTTGCTCAGCATCCAGCACAGCCACAGCAGCACCCAGATCAGGTACAGTCCCTTCTTACTCTTCCTGTTGCTCAGACGTTTACAACCGCCAATGCTAGTGCTTGGCTGCCACCCAATATACCGGTGTCTACCTATACTCCTCCCACGGTACCCCCTCCTATATCTGCTGTACCTATTAGCCAACCTATCCCTGCCGCAACAGTGCCACTAATGAGGCCTCCTGCTGTCACTTCCGTCAGTCAGCCCCAACGCCCGGAGCCAACAGCTGCAAGCATCGGGAGCATAGTCCCATTTCCAGCTGTTGGAGCTGTTCCCCCACCTCCAGTTGTGCAATACACAGCACCTATAATTCCAGATCTGAATCGAGGTCTGCCAGCACAACCATGGTCATATCCTAGCATAGAGACCTTGATTGCCTCGTCCTATGGCATCCCCAAGCCAGCACTTCCTGCTTTCGAAAGTGGGCGAGAAAGTGATTTCGCTCTACTTAAGATGGCACTGGACAATCTGATGAGCAGCCACCCTCACCTCAGCGAGCATTATAAGTATCAAGTTCTCCTGAGTCAGCTTAAACTTCCCAGTGCATTGCAGCTAGCCAAGTCATACATGTATGATCCCAGACCTTACACTGCAGCACTAGGTGCCCTTCAAGACAAATATGGCCAACCTAGACAGCTGGTCCAAAGTGAGCTAGGCTCAATACTCAACTCACCAGCCATTAAGTCGGGAGATGCCGAAGCTTTTGACTCCTTCGCCCTCTCAGTCCAGTCTCTGGTTGGTATGTTACGCACCCTAGAGGGAACCGTCGGATATGAGCTCAGGTGTGGCTCCCATGTCGACCGCCTTTTAAGTAAGATGTCCCCGGTCCACAGAGATGGATTCGTGGCGTCTCGTTCCAAACAAGACCAACAAGCAGTTACTCTTCTGCAGACTACCTCTGAACGTGTATCTATCGACGGCATCCAACGCTATGCTACTCCACTCTTACGCCGTCAATCCAGCACTACCCTTCTGGCACCCCCAGACGCTGCGATGCCCAGCCTACGCAGAATTGAACGCCGATTGGCCAAAGATCCTGCACGAGCAGCCTCCTACCGCAAAGAGATGGATAAACTTGTACAGGCTGGCTATGTCGCTGAGACCCCCTCCGACATAGTATCGAAGTCCACAGAGTCGTGGTACGTACCGCATCATATGGTGCACCACAACGGAAAGGACAGGGTCGTCTTTAACTGCTCCTTCTCTTACCAAGGCCAGTCCCTCAACGACAATCTTCTTCCTGGGCCTACGCTGGGTCCTACCATGATTGGGGTCCTGCTCCGATTCCGTCGCCATGCTGTTGCCATAAGTGGGGATATCAAGGGGATGTTCCACCAGATTCGCTTACTGCCCTGCGACAAACCACTTCTCAGATTCCTCTGGCGGGATATGGAAGTTACGTCTGAACCACGGATCTTCGAGTGGCAAGTGTTGCCTTTCGGGACAACCTGCAGCCCCTGTTGTGCCGTCTATGCCCTGCAGCAGCATGTCAGAGACCATGAGCCAACAGACTCGCTTCTTATGCAAGTGATTGAGCATTCATTTTACGTTGACAACTGCCTTCATAGTATGAGTCAGGTTGAAGAGGCCAAGGCCCTGATTGACCATCTCCGAGCACTTCTGATTAAAGGTGGTTTTGAGATCCGTCAGTGGGCAAGCAACGTGCCCGAAGTTGTGGCACACCTACCTCCCGAAGCCCAGTCAGCTAGCAGTGAGCTGTGGCTATCCAAAGCCAGCAATAACCTCGACGAACCTGCTCTCAGGCTCACCTGGGATTGTTTGGACGATACATTGAGCTACAAGCATCAGGCCGCTGACACCACACCGGCCACACTCAGACATGTCTACAGTGTTCTTGCCAAGCTCTACGACCCACTCGGTTACATCGTACCATTCACTACCAGATGTAAGGTGCTTATCCAGGACATGTGGAAGTCCAACATTGGCTGGGATGACCAGATACAGCCCACAGACCTCCTGGACAAGTGGTTGAGCTGGGTACAAGAGATCCCCGCTTTACGGCACCTCAAGTTACCACGCTGTTATGCTCCAGGTTCTGTCGATTCGGCCACTGCTACTGTGCATGTTCACATCTTCTGCGACGCATCTGAGCGTGCATATGGGTCGGTTGCTTACATGCAGACAGTGGATCCCAATCAGCACAATCACCTGTCGTTTGTGTTCGCCAGATCACGAGTCGCACCCAAGAAGCAGCTGTCCATCCCACGTCTTGAACTAAGTGCTGCCCTTACCGGTGCTCAGCTTGCCAGAGTGATCGAGACAGAGCTTGCCATCCCACCTGAGCATATCACTCTCTGGTCGGACTCCACAACCGTGCTGCATTGGATTAAGTCAGAGTCCTGCCGTTATAAGGTGTTCGTGGGGACCCGTGTCACAGAGATCCAGAACCTGACGGACCCCTCGCAGTGGCGCTACGTTAACACGGAGAGCAATCCTGCGGATGACATTACCCGTGGACTCAGTCTGCAGGATATGATACAAGAACATCGCTGGAACAAAGGTCCACACTTTCTGTACCTGCCAGAAGCTGAGTGGCCCACCATGCCGTCCTCATCTGAAGTGGAATATGATGCAGCGGAGTTGAAGAAATCTGCTTTTATCGGCGTAGTGTCCACTACTCAATCTTCGCAGCTTCCTGACCCTACCCAGTGCTCCACCTGGAAGCAGCTTCTTCGAGAGGCAGCTACCTCTCTTCACGGGGCGGCTGATGCAAGCTCCCCTTCAGCATGCTCAGCAGATAACTTTCTACAAGCGGAGAAGTTGCTGTTGCAGAAGGCTCAAGAAGACTGTTTTCCCGAAGAAATAAAGGCCCTAAAAGCTGGTCGTTCCCTCCCATTGGACAGCCGTCTTGCCTCTCTTTCACCAGAATATGAGGAAGCCACAGGACTATTGAGAGTCGGTGGAAGGTTGCGGCACGCCACAGGGCTGGATCTGGATACCATCCATCCTATCATCTTGGACCCGAAACACTCTGTGACCCAGCTCGTCATCAAGGACACAGACAATTCGTTGCTACATCCAGGTCCGGAACGAGTTCTTGCTGAACTTCGTCGCCGCTTCTGGATTGTACGAGGAAGAGAGGCCATAAGGAAGCACCAGCATTCGTGTGTTGAATGTCAACGATGGAAAGCCAAGCCCGATGTTCCCAAGATGGCTGACTATCCACCCCCTCGACTTCGTCTCCACAAGCCTACCTTTTACTCAACAGGAGTCGATTGTTTTGGGCCGTTTCGAGTCAAAATTGGCCGCCGCACCGAAAAGAGATGGGGAATAGTCTATAAGTGCCTGACGACGCGCTCGGTACATTTGGATCTACTGGAGAGTCTTGACACAGATGCTTTCTTGCTGTCATTGAGAAGATTTATTGCACGACGTGGCAAGCCGTTCGAACTCCTTATGGACAACGGTACCAATTTCGTTGGTGGAGAGCGCGAACTGCGAGAAGCGGTTGCTTCAATGGCTTCACAATTGAAGACACAACTTTCAGAACATCAGATATTCTTCAGGTTCAATCCTCCAAGCGCTCCGCACTTTGGTGGCACTTGGGAGAGGGAGGTGAAGTCTGTCAAGATGGCCCTCAGAGTCGTGCTCAAAGACCAGACTGTTCCTGAACCTGTTCTTATGACGACGCTGGTGGAAGTTGAAGGCATAATGAACTCTAAACCCTTAGGTTACCTATCTTCGGACGCTTCAGATCCAGACCCAGTCACCCCTAACCTGCTCCTTATGGGTCGCCACGACGCATCTCTACCGCAAGCAGTTTATGACCCCGGTGATCTGGGAAGAAGGCGCTGGAGACACAGCCAAGCTCTTGCTGACCACTTCTGGTTATCTTTCACCCGACATTACCTACCAGGTCTCCAAGAGCGTAGCAAGTGGCGAAAGGATGGGAAAGCCCTTTCAGTCGGTCAAGTCGTACTAATAGTGGATCCTCAACTTCCTCGAGCATCGTGGCCAGTCGGACGGATTACTCAGATACACCCAGGAGCAGATGGACGTGTCCGAACAGCCAGCGTTCAAGTCAAAAGCCGCACCTTCCTTCGTCCGGTAGCCCGACTCATCCTGCTCCCACCTCTTGGAGATACAGACGATGAGGACATCTAGACATAGGCTTTCTTCTTGTTTTTTCAACTGCCACGTGGACAGTTGGGGGCGGCTGTGTCTGAAAGCCTATGCGACACTCATCTTGACGTCTGTACTTGAACGCCTCACCACGGGAGCGGCGCGCGTTCACAGCACAGACTGTGTGGTGCCATATTGACGCTGCTACGGAGGAGAGGACTTTGTTTATTGTTTGTGCGTTTTGTGACTCAAGAAGTAAGTTGCTGTAGGCCTACTGTTCCTCACACGAGTTCGGGAAGGAAGGTTTACTTATATAGTTCGTCCATATTTGTTAAACAGTGGTTTTCCTGATCTGTGTTGTTTTCAGCTAGTAATCTAAAGATGCTACTCTATGCTAATATGACCCGTCATGTATACTTTCCTGCACCCTTGTACTAATAGTGCTATTTCAGTTACCTCTGTTCGTGTTTTACACCACTTAGTTACATATTTATGTTAACCTCACATAGACCTTAAAGGGTACCTATGTTGTACTTTATGTTATCATTTTTCCTGATTTATTGTAGCTCCTATTAGTCCAAATACATTGACTATTTATCGTTTATTATGTTATTCATTATATAATTATTATTAATACTGTTTTTTCTTTGTCCCTTTCTGTTTCCATAGCCACATACACACACAATGTACAAATTGTGACAAATTGACAACCCTGCATTAAAGCTGAGTGAAGATTCTCTGACCGGAGTCTGTCTGTAGTGTCCCCAAACCAGAAAGAAACCACTCCATTCTTTACAGGCACTTTACAGCTGCAGCCGCCCCACTGTGGCGCCTGGTGTTCCCTTGCCAAGGAGACATATATGTGTACTATTTATATTTATTTTAAGTCTTTTGATTGGAGAAGAAAAGACGAGGGACAAGCTTGACGTGAGGCAGGCAGTGTCTGTGCCTCACCAATAGGGAGCGCTAGTGAGCATGAAGTTCATACCAGAGTTGCTAACATGGACTGTAAATATTTTGCTAACCAACAATCAGTCCTGTCGGTGCTTTTTATTTTGCTGGAAAATGGATGATTGGATTGAAGATTTTTTTTTCTCACCTGGACCTTCAATCAAAGCAAGAAGTAATATAGACTGAGAGACCGCTGCTCATGGACTGACGAGGTTAGACCGGCCGCAGTCTGTCAGTGTCTGTGTTTTATATTGAAAATGTACTAGAGCTGCGTAAAGTGCTTCTCCAAAAAACACTGATTTAACACTGCTCATAAGTTCTGCAACTTGTTTAATTCTTGTTTGTGTTCCTTGCGTCTCTCTCTTTCTCTCCTTGCGTCTCTCTCTCGCTCCTTGCGTCTCTCTTTCTCCCTCCTCCCGTCTCTCGCACCTGTGCTTCACAAAGACTTGGTTTGATGCAGAGCGGAGAGCTGTTGTGGGATTTTTAATAATATGCTGGTTCTTATCTTTACAGTATATAATGTTAGTGGAAGTTTTTGCATTAGCGATGTAATGCTATTTTATTAGAATAATGATGGTAAATCTGACTTTTAAAGTCAGTGCCTCCCCAATCATAAACCTCACCGCACGTCCCTGGCGGCTACGGCTGTAAAGTCGTGTCCTTAGCAGGATCTCCACGCACCAGACAAATATGGAAGCGGAGGGCAGGTCCAATCAAGACGCGTCCGTTTGACTTGTCTGTTCTGTCAAATGGCTCCTTCTCAGTTGTAGGATTGGGAAGTTGTGTAAAGACACAGCATCCTTATTTACATTAGTACAGCCTGAAGCGATGCACTTTTTCCCCATCGTTATTGGTGATAAGGCAAAGAAAAGTAAAAAAAAAGCGGTTGAGTAAGTGTACAGTATAGTACAGAGTAGGCCCGTGTTCGAATTTGGAATGTCATTCACCTACGTCACACATCACGTGGCATGTTTTTAACAGGTGATTTTTTTTTCTGTTTTCTTTTTTTCCCCAAAATGTTTATATGGATCTAACCTTACAAATACTGCAATTGGTAAAATAAAATTCTAATACTACTTTAAGGAGGAGGCGCCGGTTTGACAGTGATTCTGTTTCGTTTAATTTTAATCTTGTGCCTGACTACAGCAGCCACAGAGACCACGAGGACAAACACATGTGGATTTTACTTCTTTAAAGTTCTCTGGCCTGTACTGTTCTCTACACTTCTCCATAGACCTCAGAAGGACAGCAGCAGCTGCGTCTCTGCCGGTGTGTACACAGCTGCGAGACGCGACTCTCCTCTCCTGAAGAGGTGCGCGTCACTCGCTGCTCTAATGATGTGTACGAGCCGCATTATTGTTTGCTGCTAAAAAGTTTCAAAACTGTGAATCAACATTTCTACCGCAGCCTCTGTGGTTCGAGCCAGGCATGCACTGACATGCAGATTAGCACAGGATTAGTATTATTACAGGACGTTCGTGTTTGGCCAAATACAGGAGGTAACTTGCTGCGGGATTATTACTTTACAAATTACAAACATGGCTCATTCGTACGGGACTAAGATCCCAGAGGTCCACAAGTAATACTAATCCTGTGTGAATAGGACGAAAGTCACATTCTGCTCTCACATACAGCCTGTATCCATCAGGGCACAGGTGGAGGCCCCTCTCACTCAGGACCAGTGGTCACCTCCAGCTTCCCCCCTGGCTCAATCTGCCTTTTAAACAGCTGATATGGCATAATTGATTGTATTCTTGTGTCATTGTGTCTTTTCATTTATTCCCAACCAAAATCTGTCCGTTAAATTGAGTTGAATATATTTTTGATACATACATAGAAGTACACGCTCACGTCTTTTTCACAAAATGTTAAACTATTTTTGTCCCTATTTTCTCTGAACGGTCTTGAAACAGTGTTTATACTGTATGATGTAGTATTTCATTGTACAGCTCCTGGCCATTGCCTCAATATATTTCCCCCCTGTTTTTGCAGCGACCACGTTGACTATTAGCAGATGTGTAATGTGATATAGAAATGACCATAGCATAATGTTTGTATTCGGTTTCCCCATGTTCCTTGCCTCTAATCTCACCATGATAGATTCCTGCTCTGTGCTGTAATGTTTGTCCTGTTTGTGTACAGAAGCTTTGGCCGCACTGTTATGTCCCTGTGAGTATTAGCGGTGCAGATTAGCTGGCACTGTCCGTGTGAGAATGAGCTGTTAGTGACAAGCTGCTCATATCTGCCATACATCAGAGGGTGAAGCTATTACAGACTGGCCACAAATGTCCTGCTCTGCGCCTCCACACGCAGTTATGGGGCCCTGGCACCTATCACCGCGGTGTAATGCGCTCTTAACTCTGTCCAAGTGAAAGACTAACACAAAACATATTCCGCTCCGAGCTGAAGCACGGTAGGAAGACTTTGGGCTGAGCTATTGGAGATAGGACTATTTGAAATGTACATAGGAGTGTTATGGCTCACCGGTGCTTAAACGAACAAATGTTTATGTTGCTTCTAAAAGACACATATTTGGAGATACATTAACAGACAATGGGAAAGCAGGTAAATGGCAATTAACAAACTACGGCTGAAGTCATAATGATGAAAAATAAAGTAGGAGAGGATTGTGATGCTACCATACTTCTCCAGCAGGGGTCTCCATATGCTGCATCATTAAAAAAGACTTTTGACAGTGTCCGCCTCCTCAACGTAGATAGATAAAAGTGGCTAATCATGGGAGTACAGCTGGGGGTTTATTTGAACTTGTGAAGCAACCGAAATGAGTCAATA